ACAGAGACAGAAAACAAGAAATCACCCCCCAGGGGGGATGGTCACACCACAATCCCTTCTCCTCCATTCTCCTCTCGGGATCTTGGGCACGCACACACACGTGCCCAGAGTGAGTTTTAAGCCACTGGGTCCAGGACGCGAACCGCAGTCGATTACATGGGAGTCCAGTGACATAGCCATTATGCTAACTGCTGGTTCCCAATATAGTATATTAATTATTGTAGATAGTCATCTAAAAAATTTATTTTTGCTATGGGGTGCTTGCTGGAGAGACAGAGAAAAATGGAAAGAGAAAATAAAAATCGCTCCCTAGGGGGGATGTCCATTCTTCTCTTGGGATTTTAGGCATACACTCACACATACTCAGTGTGAGTCTCAAGCCACTGGGTCCAAGACTCGAACCACAGTTGGCCATGTGGGAATTCAGTGACTTAACCACTATGGCATCTACCGGCCCTTGATAGTCATCTAAAATTTATGTACATTAGTTTAAACTTTTTTTCTTCTTTATTGCCAGAAGATGCTTGTACTCACAAGTGAGATGTCCCAGTGGAGCCTAGTCATGCTACAATCCTTTTGCTTCCATTTCTCCATCCCGTCAGGATTTTAGACATGCATGCACATGCACCTGGCATGTTTTTCAAGCTGCCAGGGTGGAATACAAACCATGGTTAGTTATATGGAATTTGATTCCCAATGAACATTGCTTAACTATGGCACATGGGACCAGCCCAGGTTAGACATTTCTAAGTTCCCTTTTCAACTCTTGGTCTCTGTTAACGTACTGTTTACTATTTGTTTTATGGCCATCAAAAATCTGTCACTGAACACTTGTCTGGTTACAAAGTTTGAAAACATAATAACTTTTTAATTTATTTTTTTTCTGGTGATATTCTAGAAGACTTCACATGAACTTGGTAACAAAGGTAGCCACTGGGGAAGGGAACTGCTCTTTTTTTTGGGGGGGGAGAGGATTTTATGATAGGGCACATGCCTCGCCAGAAAGACAGAGAGAGACAGAGAGATAGAAAGAGAGAAATCACCCCCGAGGGGGATAGCCATGCCACAATTCCTTCTCCTCCATTCTCCTCTTGGGATCTTGGTCATGCACGCACACGCGCCTGGCGTGAGTTTAAGCCACCAGGTCCAGGACTCAAACTACAGTCAGCTACATGGGAGTTCAGCGACATAGCCATTATGCTAACTGCTGGTCCTGAAACTGCTCTTAACATATCATTGGGTGCATAAGAGATCATGAGTAATCCTGTCATAAACGCATAAACAATGGTTAGATCAGAGTGGGTAACATAGGAAGGAGACTGGGTCATTTAGAAGCATTGTTCACTGGTACAGCAGGATCTGGGAGACAGATAATTGAATGGAGTTGTTCAGAATGACTAGTGGAAGTATTTAGATCATGTTTTTCAGTGAGAAGGAAACACCAACATACCAATGTCATGGTTTTCTATCTGCAGAAACTGGTAAGTCTTTCTTGAGATTCCTTTATGGAAGAAGAACAAAGCTATGAAAGAAAAAAACATCGTAAGAACAGGCATACTTGGGCACATATGCACATGTACCTGATGTGAGTTTTCAGCCTCCAGGTCTGTGACTACTCTGCAGTCAACTATGTGGGAGTCCAGCAATGTAACCATTACACCATCTTCTTGTCCCAAAATTAGAAGTTTAAATAAATCTAGACTTTTCCTCAATCTCCAAAAAACCTAGATACTTTAGTTGACAATTTTCTGGCCAGTCTTACATTGGAGAAGCTGCTCTGCACCTAAGATTAGGCTGCCCAGTCCTGTTCTGAACAGATTTTCTTCACTCCATGTGTTCTTTCCAGGGCTGAAAAGGACCCAGACCATCCAAACATACCTTACACTATGGCCTTGGGATCAGGTGAGGTTAAATACAGGATAAAAAGACACAGAACTGATCAGGCAGTGTTCAGCATTCTGATTATAGAAGAATGAATTAAAAAAAAAAAAAGGGAACCAGCAGTTAGCGTAATGGCTATGTCACTGGACTCCCAAGTAGTCGACCGCGGTTCGCGTCCCGGACCCGGTGGCTTAGAACTCACGCTGGGCGCGTGTGCGTGCGTGCCCAAGATCCCGAGAGGAGAATGGAGGAGAAGGGATTGCGGTGTGACCATCCCCCATGGGGGGTGATTTCTCGCTTTCTGTCTCTATGTCTCTCTCTGTCTGTCTGTAGAGCGCACGCGCCCTATAGTGAAAACCTCTCAAAAAAAAAAAGAAGAAGAATGAATTAAATACATTGTAAAATATCCACATAATAAATATTAAGTAGGGAAAAATATTAAGACATGGAAAATATTCCAGAAATAATACTGTAAATAGAAAAATCAGATTGTGGGGTCAGCAGGTGACACGGTGGTTGAGAGTGCTGGACTCCTACATGGCCAACCATGGGTCAAGTCCTAGACCTGGCAGCTTGCTTTCTTACTTTCTCTCTCTCTCTTTTCCTCTCTGGTCAAATTAAAATAAGTAAATAAAGTTAAATAAAATAATTCTATAAAAGAAATCAGATTGTAAAACCATGCATACAATATAATAGTATTGGTAAAATATATGAATATCTCAATCGGGAAAGACTAATAGACTATCAGAAGTAGAAAAATATCTGGAAAATGAGACAGTCATATACTAACAGTGCTTAGCTTTTTGTTTTGAACTTGAGAATTTTTATTTGTTGATTCAATGGCCATAGCTTAATTTAAATATATATTCTTATGAGCATTTGTTATGTGTCAAGTAGAGTATATTTTCCAAAAAATGGAAAGTTCATTTTCTTAAACTGTCCTTACTTGGACTTGGAAAAATAACACTAAATTTGGATTGCTTTATTAAATAGTCTTAGTTTCTTTTAGTTCCCAGTAACATCAACTCTTCTAAGATTTCTATAAATGCTCTTACATGTTGGAGTACTGCCTAAAAAAAAAATATAGGTGAAGTCCCTGAGTACAGTCCAATTATGATTGATGCTGTCTCACTGCCACATCCTTTGACAAGTTACTTTTTTAAAAGAAATAATTCTCACCCAGCTAGTCATATTCTCCAGATACCTGCTCAATTATTGGGTCAATTATTTTTCTTAATGTTATTTATTATTATTCAATTTTTACCAAAGAGTGATAGACAGAGAGAAAAGGAGAGTAAGAAAACAAGCCACCAGGTCCAGGACTCGAACTGTGGTTGGCTATGTGGGAGTCCAGCACCTTAATCACCATGCTGCCTTCCTGCCCTGGGTTGATTATTTTCTATTTTACATACAAAAATATGTCATGACTTTTCTTACAATCCAATTATTTTATCCTTTTAGTCTCACTGAGCATCTAACATCACTAGAATAATAAATGTAATATAGGAGTTACCATGAAACTCAATAATTACAGCCTAAATATATACCTAAGAGAAATATAAAATATGTTCACACAAAAACTTGTGAACAAATGTTCATGTCATTATTTTTAATAACTAAAAAGTAGAAACAACCCCAATGAATAGCAAAATGATAGGTAGAATGTGATATATGTATACAAGGGAATATTATACTGCCATAAAAATGGAGGAAAATGGTATATGCTACAACATGAACCTTGAAGCTGTTATGCTAATTGAAGTAAGTTAGTCCCAAAAGGACAAATACAATATGATTACTCTTATATAACATAGTCAAATTCATATAGACAGAAAGTAGAGAGTTGGTTGCCATGGGTAGGGGAAAAGGGGAATGAAGAGTTAGTGTGTAATAGGCATAGAGTTTGAATTAGAGATGAAACACTTCCGAAGATGGACAGTGGTGATGATTGCAAAACAATGTAAATGTGCTTAATGCAAAAGAACTATACACTTAAAAATGGTTAAAATGGTACATTTTATGTATATTTTCCAAGGGGAAAAAAAGGATGAACTACTGATATACCTACAACATGGATGAATCTTGAAAACATTACACTAAGATAGAAATCGAAGATAAAATGATATATACTATATGATTTAATTTATAAGAATAAGCAAATCCACAGAGATAAAAAGTAGATTACTGGTCATCAGAGTATGCAAGAGAAGGAAATAAGGACTGATGATAGCTGATAAGTATGAGATTTCTTTCGGGGGTGATAAAAATATTCTAGAATTAGATATGGTACTGATTGTAAACTCTTAGTAAAAACACTGAATTGTATATTTTACAAAGATAAATTTTAGGATAGTGAAATATATCTCAGCTTAAAATGGTATACATTTACAACTTAAATTCCTTACCATCACAGTGTTTTCATATTAGGTCAGGGTAATTTGGGGACCAGCAGATGGTGTAATGGTTATGTCACTGGACACCCATGTAGTCAACCATGGTTAGAGTCCTGGACCCAGCAGCTTAAAATTCATATCAGGCATGTGTACATGCATGCCCAAAATCCCAAGAGGAGAATGGAGAAGGGATTGTGGTGTGTTCAGTTCCCTTGGTGGTGGGAGGAATGCTTTCTCATTTTCTGTCTGTCTCTCTCTCTCTGTCTCTCCAGCGAGCACATGCACCCTATAGCAAAAATCTCTCTCTCTAAAAAAAAATTGATCATAATGTACCTTTAATGCATTTATTCCTATTTAGAGATTATTGTACTTAAAGCAACATAAAAATAGCAACTACGTCATTTTAGTCTTTTTATCATCCCAAATACTAAGATAGCATGGGCTGAGAGGCCAATAGGTGGGGAGATGGTTAGGGCATTTGGCTCCCACATGGATAACCATGATTCAAGTCCTGGACCCGGTAGCTTGAAACTCATGCGGGGCATGCATGCCCAAAATCCCTGGGGGGTAACGGAGAAGGGAATGCAGCGTGGCCATCCCCTCTGGGGGGTAATTTCTCACTTTCTGCCGGGAGTTCATACCCCATAGCAAAAATCTCTTAAAAGAAACAACAACAAAAAAGATTGCATGGGCTAGAAATAAGTAAAATCTAAGTGTGTAACTCCAAATTCTACTTCTAGGAATTTTTAAGGTAATATCTACAGAAACACAAAAGAATGAAGGTTGAATCCAAAAATATATGAAAAGCAGATGGGACCAGCAGTTAGCGTAATGGCTATGTTGCTGGACTCCCATGTAGTCAACCGCGGTTCGCATCCTGGACCTGGTGGTTTAAAACTCACGCCGGGCACATGTGCGTGCATGCCCAAGATCTGGAAAGGAGAACGGAGGAGAAGGGATTGCAGCGTGGCCATCCTT